CTCTCTTCCTGCTACCTGGTACCAGAGACTGGCGCGGCCTGGTCAGGTGTCTGGGCCTCAGTTTCCCTTGTGTGGGTCCGCGCACCCTTTCCTCCTGGCAGGTGGGGTGCGGCTGCCTTAATGTTTATTGAAGGGCTCCTGCGTGCCTGCTGACAGGGGCCTTGAGCTGGTAACAAACGAGCCCGCCATAAGAGCCAGCGCTATTGTTTACACCCAAGGGTGATGTTTCATGACGGCAGCGCACTGTCAGAGCTGCGGCAGAGACGAGCGCTTTGTCTGCTCCCCCCCACCCCCCTCTGCTCCCCCAGACCCAGGAGACGGTGGTTCCCGTCCAGCCACGGAAGCGAGATGAGGCTACTCACCGTCGGCGATAAATCTGCCGTTTCATCAGCCTTGACAGGTGGCCGGAGCATCCTGGCCCATTCATCAATGAAATCTCCCCCGCTCGGCGTGGCAGAGACCTCGTGTCCTTGGCTCCGGCACGACCCGTGGGCCACAGTCGGGAGGGCGGTTGTCACGGAGGCTGGCACTTCGGGCACCCGGCCAGGTGTCCCGGGGGGAAGGGGCTTCTTAGCAGACAGGAGGGTGGGAGGAGTTTGCAGCCCGGAGCGGAGGCTGGGACTGTGTGTTGGGAGGGACCAGAGGAAGAGGCCCAGCCAGGCCTGGCCTGTTTCAGGACTGACCAGTTGTGCCTGGGGCTCCCGCAATAAAATCGCTCCAGTGGGGCTCCGAGGCCTGGCCGGGTCAGTCTCCTGCCCCACAGCGTGCCTGGCTGCCGCGTGGCCGTGGAGAAGTTGGTTCCCTTTGCAGTCCTCATCGCCCCACTGGTCAGATGGGGCTAATGACAGCAGGGTTCCCTGGGCCTCCTGAGTGACGGCCTGGCCTCATTGGGGCAGCTGGCGGGGGGTGGGGTGGGGGCCAGTTATCACAGCGGCCACAGCCACCCTCAGACAAGCTCCTCGGCCTCTTCTTGCTCTGCCCCTTGGAATCAGGCAGTTCCTGGATTCCTCTCTTTCCCGGCCCTTTCTCAGGCTTCCGAGTCCATTCATTTGTCAGGCGCAATGCAGAATCCTTCCGTTCCTTGATGGGCTTTGACTCCCGGGATCCATAAAGCTGCCACGGGGAGGTTGTCTGATGAGCACCGTGGTCTTGGGGCGTGCTCAGCCCTCCAGAGGGGGCCCCCACTCCGCAGGCTGGGCTGTCGGGTGTCTGAAATGTTGCATTCCACAGGGACCCACCCAGGAGACGTGAAGTGTGTGTGTGTGTGTGTGTGTGTGTGTGTGTATTTGAGCATTGTGTGCACATGTGCACACATGCGTGTTCCTGTGTGTCTTTGTGTAGGGGGTCGATTGTGCCTGTCCATTTGTGCATGTGCAGGCTTGATTGGAGGCACGCATGCATTGTATTGCCATGCAGACATGTAGAACCGTACACAGACTCAGGTGTGCATGCACGCTCGTGCATACACATATGCACCGAACAGTATTCACACAAATTCATAGACCCGTATATATGCGTGTGTGTTCATACATGCATGCAGTTGTGTGTTGGTGTGCCCAGCTGGGTGTGCTCACAATGTGTTCCAGTGCACAAGCACACACGTTGTGCATTTGTATATTTGTGTCTGGGGATGCGTGCAATCATGAACCTGTGCGAGCTTGCAAATGTGTGTGTGAGTATATACAAACCCACATGTGTTCGTGTGAGTCTGTGAATTTGTATGAACACCGTTCAGTGCATATGTGTACGCATGAGTGTGCGTGCGCACCTGAGTCTGCGTACAGTTCTACGTGTGCATGTGTGAGTGCACACACAAGTGTATACATACTACATGCATGCCTGTGTATGGGTTTAGGTGAGAGCCACACAGACTAGAATATATTTTCATGGGGTGCACACATATGTACACATGTATGAGCGGTGAGTCCGTGTGAGCCCAGTTGTGTGCAGGTGTGTGGGTGTGGGTGTGATTCTGTGTGTGCATGATCATGTGCAAATGTTGGAACTGTTCTTGCCCAGATGCTGGGGCAGCCTGTGGCCAGGTTGTGTCCGAGGCAGGTTGTTGGATCTGGACCGTGTCCTTGGCCAGGTTGTGTCCAAGGCCATGGAAGGCACTGAATTGTGTCCAGCCTCTCAGGCCCGGACCCGCTGCCACCTCCTGCTCGCAGCCTTTACTTGCCCGGCGTGTGGCCTAGGAGTGCTTCTTTGCTCTCCCAGGCCTTGTCCCCTGTCCCGTGACTGGGATGCCAGCAGTGCCTGTCGGGGTGTTCAGAGCGGAAAGGACAGGTGTCCCCTAGCGCCCACATGGGGAAGACGCTGGGCCGATGTTTGCATCTCGGTGGGGTCAGTTCTCAGGAGTGTGGGGCTCTGGGTGAGTGGGCCCCAGAGAAGCCCTGTCCTGAGTGGCTCAGTGGTCTGAGCCTCTCCCAGCTGCTGGGTCCCTGGCCCAGCATCTGGGAGAGGGACCCTCAGGCCCCTGTGAGCTAGGCCTCCTTTGGGAGCGTCTGAACGCCCCCAGCTGCACCCCTCAGCTGCTCTCCTGACCCACAGAGCAGCTGTGCTCTGCCCATCCCCCCCCCTTACGGGCTGTCACAGGGAAGGCTGTATGTGGGCACACAGGGACAGACCTTCCTGCCATGAAGACAGTGGCCTGACGTGCCCTCCACTGTCCCTCAGTGCTGCTGCCCGGAGCCTGGCAGCAGCCTCTGATAAGAATCATTTTGAACTGTGGGGCCTGGGTGACCTCCAAGAGCTGCCGCCCCTTGTCCCTCAAGTATGGCCTTGCGCAGACCCCCACCTGCCTGTGGAAGTTTGAGGTCCAGTTGGGACCACTCTTTGACGAGATGGAGAGGGCTTGGTTTGCACCACGACCTTCCTGGTGGGGACTGGGCAGTTCCAGTAGCAGCCGGGACCAACCAGCCCCCCACATCTGGATTTTAACACGGGGGCTGGGCGTGGTCCCAGTGAGGGGGACAGGCCCTTGGAAAGAGTGGGGCGCTGGGGTCCAGCCCAGGGCTGCTCTTTGGAGGTTGGAGCCGTGCAGTCCTGCTGGCCGAGCCGTCCTGTGCTGGGCGGTGTCACCACAGCTGGTCATGCCCACACCGATATGGTCTTAGCCAAGGTGGAGAGAGGGAAGGAGGTTCCGAAGCCCAGTGCGGGGGTCTCCGAGCTGAAGCTTCTTCCACTCCAGCCCCTTTCCTGGGGCCAGACATTTTCCAAATGGACGTCCAGGGCCATGAGCCAGTTTCCTTCTGCTTCCTGGACTCGGTGTTCCGTGAGAGTACTCCCAGTCCCAAAGCTGTGAGTACTGCCCCTCACAGGGTCCTGGAACAATGAGGGGACAGCAGAGCTGTAGCTTCCGGCCAGTTGGGGGGCACTTCCTGTTTGCTCTCTTAAGGTGGTTTCCGGGGGGCGCTGAGTGATTTTATTTTTCTGGGTAAGTCTGGGAACATCTGCTCTTGGCTCATGGCCTTCCGCCTGACTTCCAAGGCAGGGTGTCTTTAACCCTCTCCACTCTCCTCACTTTTGCCCCAGACACTGTTATGTCGCCCTGGGCCAGCAGGTCAATGAAAGGAATATCAAAACCAGACATTTGCTGATGCTAAATCGTAAAGGAATGGGTTTCCTATTTGATTTTATTAGGGGGTTACACCCAGCGGTGCCCAGGGATCTTACTCCTGGCTCAGGGATCAATCCTGGAGGGGCCCCTGGGATCCTGTGGGATGCTGGGGAACAGGATTGGCCACGGGCAAGGTAAGCACCCCATCTGCTGTAGTATTGCTCTGGCTCAAGGAACTTATTTTTAAATTTTGTTTGTTTGTGGGGGTTGGAGCGATAGCACAGCGGTAGGGCGTTTGCCTTGCGCGCAGCCAGCCCGGCCGAGCCGGGTTCGATTCCTCCACCCCTCTCGGAGAGCCTGGCAAGCTACTGAGAGTATCTCGCCCGCACGGCAAAGCCTGGCAAGCTCCCGTGACGTATTCGATATGCCAAACACAGTAATAAGTCTCAAATGGAGACGTTACTGGGTCCGCTCGAGCAAATCGATGAACAACGGGAGGACAGTGACAGTGACAGGAGTATTTTGTGACTCACCCATGTAGTTTCTAGAGGTTTAATAAGCAGGTTCCGTGGTGTGCTATACAGGGCTTCGTTGGTGCCCCGTCGCCAGTTCTCGGTTCGGTCAGCGGGAGAGCTGTGACCTGCCATGGTCGATGATCTCCTCCCCCAGACAGCGCCACGCGGGTCCAGAATGCAAGCGCGGGGGCTCACCTAAGTGTCTGGCACACCCACGGCCCGGAGCAGCATCCCTGCAACCACGTGGCCCCATGAGCACTGCTGGGTGCAGCCCTCGTGGCCCACCAAGTGCTTCTGAGCCAGGACACCAAACCGTCGGGAGCATGGCAGGCTGAACTCTGGCAGTCCTGAGCACCCCTGGGGGAGGCCCTGATAAGGAGTGGGTGCTAGAAAAGAGGCGAGGTGGGGGGGGGCTGGGAGTGTCTGATCTGCTGTGTCTGGGGGAACTGGGGAACCCCACATTCTCCTCGGCAGAGCCTCTCCTGGACACAGCCGGCAGGGGAGGGGGTACCAGGTGCCTGCCTCCTCTCCCCACTCTCAGAGACTGGCCAAGCCTGGGACAGACCGGAAGTTCCTGCCAGGGCCTGGGGTGGGGGTGGGGGTGATGTGAAAGGCTGGGATTGTGTCTTGCATGTCACCCCCTGGCTCCCCAAACCCTACAGGCTGTGGCCCCCGAGGCCTCTGAGCGGGGCTGGGTCCAAGCAGTGGTGAGTTATCCTGCCTGCCGAGACTCAGTTTCCCGGGAATGCTCCCCCACACCCCCACAGCCTCCTGGGCAGTGCTTGGAGGGCCCCCTGCCTGCCCTCCAAATGGGAAATTTTGACTGAACACTGCCCTTGGGCTGGCAGGGGCTCAGTCCCCCTATGCCCGTGCCCAGCACCCTGTCTGAGCCTTGCCCCTCACCCCGCCTCCCCTGCCTCCCGCAGCCCGCCCCGAGGATGTCGGCAGCAGCCTCTACTTTGTGAATGCCTCGGTGCAGCACGTGACCTTCTCCAGCTCCGTGGGCGTGGTGGTGCCCTGCCCGGCCGCCGGCTCCCCCAGCGCGGCCCTTCGATGGTACCTGGCCACGGGGGACGACATCTACGACGTGCCGCACATCCGGCACGTGCACGCCAACGGCACGCTGCAGCTCTACCCCTTCTCGCCCTCCGCCTTCAACAGCTTCATTCACGACAATGACTACTTCTGCACCGCGGAGAATGCGGCCGGCAAGATCCGCAGCCCGGACATCCGCGTCAAAGCAGGTGGGTTCCCGGGGAGGCGGCGGCAGGGCAGCGTGTGGGGGCAGCGTGTGGGGGCAGCTGCGCTGTCCTGAGCAATCAGCCTTGAGACCTTGAGATACACAGTTGCAAAGTTGTTGCTATTGGGTTTCAGTCATCCCACTTCCCAACACTGTCCCTTCGCCAGTTGCTCATTTCCTGCCGCCAGGCCAGTGTCCGAGCAGATGAGCCGGTAAGGAAACTGGCTCAGCTGCACCCTGGAACACTGCTCAGCCGCTGGGGAAATGGAGCCATGGAATTTGCTTATATGTGGACGGACATGGGAGTGTCACGCTGAGTGACATGAGACAGAAGGAGAGGGGCAGACGTAGAATGATTCCGCACTCATTTGTGGGATATAAAAAAAATAGTAGGAGACTATTATCCATAGGTCATAGAAACGAGGGCCAGGAGGATTGGGCCGCGGAAGGACGATACGCTTCTGGGCCTCATCTGCAAACTAGATGCCAACACGGCCCTGTTCATTCCCGCTTCTGGTGGGAGCATCTGAGTCCCTCTTACCTCCCTCCTCCTTCCTTCCTCCCTCCTTCCTTCTCTTCCTCCCTCCCTTCCTATCTTCCTCCTTCCTTCCCTCCTTCCTTCCACACTCCTTCTTTTCTTCATTTCTCCTCCCTCCCTCCTCCCTCTCTCTTCTCTCCCTCCCTCCCTCCTTCCCTCCTTCCTTCCTTCCTTCCTTCCTTCCTTCCACACTCCCTCCCTCTTTTCTTCCTTTTTCCTCTCTCCTTCCCTTCCTTCCTCCCTCCCTCTCTCCCTCCACCCTCCCTCCTTTTCTTCCTTCCTTCCTTCCTTCCCTCCCTCCCCCTCCCTCCCTCCCTTCCTTCCTTCCTTCCTTCCTTCCCTCCCTCCCTTGCTTCCTTTCTTCCTTTCTTCCTTCCACACTCTCTCCCTCTTTTCTTCCTTTCTCCTCCCTCCTCCCTCTCTCCCTCTTCCTTCTCTCCCTCCCTCTCTTCTCTCCCTTCCTTCCCTTCTTTTTCCTGAAGAAAGGGGTCTGACTCTCTGGACACTCCAACCCCCAAGAAATCTCAGACCTTAGGGGCTTGACGTAGGGGCCTGCTGGGCTGGGAGGGGACAGGAAGTGTTCTTGGGGCAGCTTTCCTGGTGATGCCCAAGCAACCCCAGAGTGCGGGTCCCTGAGTGTGCCCAGGGGCTGGCCCTGCAGAATCCCTGACTGCAGGTCCCAGGGGGCAGGTGTGTGGGGGCAGGGGAGGACATGGGGTGAGAGCTTACTCAGGACTTGATGTGCACCCCTGTGCCTGGTGTGGATCTGAGCTCTGGGAAGCCAGGCTGTTTGTGGGGTCTCCCTGTGACTCCTTCCAGGGCTGGGTCCTCTGCCCTGTCCACCTCACCCATGCCAACTGCCGATCTCACACCTCGCTGGAGGTTCCTTTGGGGGTCCTGCAGGAAGCCTTAATGCCACGAGATTTCTCCTGCCTGGCCCTCGGGGTGCTGCTGAGATGCTTTCTCCTTTTTGTTTTGAACCCTACCCAGTGGTGCTCAGGGCTGACTCCTGCCTCTGTGCGCAGGGGGTCACTCCTGCTGGTGCTTTGGGCACCATACTTGGTGCCAGGGGTGGGGGCCACATGCCAGGCCAATGCCTGTCCTTGGACTCTCCGGCCCCTGTTTCTTTTTACAAATGCAGGCACTCAGCCTTCCGGTCACTTGGGGACCCGGTGAAGGGATGCCTTGTTGGATACTCGTGACCTCTGACCTCCGCAGGCTTCCTGAGTTGTTTTGGGGTGAGGGGTAAGCACCTCGATTCCAGCCCTTTTTTTTTTATTAGTGAAGCACCATGAGGTACAGTTGTAGATTTACAAATCTTTGTGCTTGGGTTTCGGTCATACAATGATCAAATACCCATCCCTCCACCAGTGCCCATTTCCTCCCACCCCCCCTCCCACCCTGCCTCTGTGGCAGGGCATTCCCCTTTGTTCTCTCTCTCCTTTTGGGTGTTGTGGTCTGCAAAAGAGGCATTGAGTGGCAAACATGTTCAGTCCATAGTCTACTTTCGACATGCATCTCCCCTCCTGGGAGGATCCTCCAAACACCCTTTATTTGGTGCTCCCTTCTCTATCTGAGCTGCCCTTTCCCCTAGAATGCCCGACTGGCCACTCAGCTATGGAGTTATCCTCCTGGTGCTGATCTCAGCTATTCTTGGGTATTAATCTCATATTTTGTTACTTTATGTCCCCCAGATGAATGCAATCTTTCTATGTCTATCCCTCTCTTTCTGACTCATTTCGCTTAGCATGATACTTTCCATGTTGTACCACTTGTATGTAAATTTCATGACTTCATCTTTTCTAAGAGCTACATAGTACTCCATTGTGTAGATGTACCAAAGTTTCTTTAACCAGTCATCTGTTCTTGGGCACTCAGGTTTCTTCCGGTTTCTGGCTATTGTAAATAGTGCTGCAATGAACAGACAAGTGCAGATGTCACTTCGACTACACATTTTTGCCTCTCTGGGGTATATTCCCAGGAGTGGTATCGTCCAGCCCTTTTTACTCCTGGGCGGCCACCTGAGCTGTCCCTGTTCATTCTGCACAGCGACATGGTGGGCACCCTCCCCCAACACACACACATACACACACACACACATCACACACATACAACTGCATCTCCTGGGCCCCGAAGATAGGCTGGTCAGGAGGCCCCCTGTGAGGCCCAGCCAATTAGCCACTCTCTTTTTTTTTTCTTTTTGGGTCACACCCATCGATGCTTGGAGGTTACTCGTGGCTCTGCACTCAGCAATTACTCCTGGTGGTGCTCGGGGGACCATATGGGATGTTGGGAATCGAACCTGGGTTGGCTGCGTGCAAGTCAAATGCCCTACCCGCTGTGCTGTCCCTCCAGCCTTCAGTTAGCCACTCTTGACTGAGCCCAACAGGTGCAGGCGCCCAGCCTGAGGGGCTGTGGGGCCCTGCATCACCCGGGCCACCCAGGCACAGCCCCAGGAGGCTGCCGAGTGGGTCTGGGTCGGTGGCCGATAGCTCTTCTCTGCAGAGGAGGGGGTCATGGGAGCTGCTGGGGGCCACGCAGAGGAGGACGAGGACTGGCAGGGCCAGGGACACTCAGAACTCCAGAAAGAGCCCCGGGACAGTGGGCGAGTGGGGTGGGGGGGCAGAGGCAAGTTGGGATCAGGAGCGGGGAGAGGGGCTGGGCAGCTGTGACCTTTATAGAGCCTGGCCCCCTTAGGGGGCCCGGGTGTGTTTGCCCAGAGACACTGTTTCTGAGACCCTGCGGCACTGTGGCCAGCTCGGAAGACGCCCAGGAAGCCATGGACGGGTCATGTGCCCCAGTTTTTAATGCCACACAATTACAGTCTCAGGGGCCCTGGACTCATGAGTTCCGGGTCTCTGGGGAGTGGAGTTCTGGTCTGGTTTCCTAGAGGACCCCTCACAGGTGCCCCGAGGTGGGGTGCACAGCCCCTGCGGCTGCAAAGGTGACAGCTTGGCCTGAGGGTCCTGCAGAAGGAAACCGTTGATTTCCAGGAGATAAAGGGGGGGGGGGGTGGGGGGCAAGGGAGGGGATGTCAGGTAGGAGAGGGAGATGGGCTGGGGAGGCTGTGGGGAGGGGCCGGGCTGCCTTCCTCGCCGCCCCCCCCCCCCCCCCCCCCGTGGCATCTCAGCTGAGCCAGCGATGCGCTTTCTCTGCAGTTTTCAGGGAACCCTACACGGTCCGGGTGGAGGATCAAAGGTCAATGCGTGGCAACGTGGCCGTCTTCAAGTGCCTCATCCCCTCCTCCGTGCAGGAATACGTGAGCGTGGTGTCCTGGGAGAAGGACACGGTCCCCATCGCCCCAGGTAAGGGGGGGGGGGCGCCGCTGCTGTGGGTGGGGGCGCTGGGGAGCAGGGGGCAGGTCTTGTCAGAGCATGACGTCGGCGCTGGTGCACGCCAGGGTGGAGCTGTGTCTCGGGGGTCCGCGCGGCCGAGACCACTGTCGCTGTGGGAAGGACAGACACCGGCGTGGAGGCGGGCGTCTCTCTCCTCCCTGGCTCCTGGGCCTTCCGGCATCTTCTCTGCAAAGCTGTCCATCTCCTGCGTGCCCCCGTGGCCTGGCCGCACCCGCATCCCCGTGGGACCCCGGCAGCCGCGGGCAGGCTGGTCGTCAGGCCCGCAGAATCCCGCCGCCCTGGCCTGCCTGCTCTTTCTTGGTTGCGATGGCGCGTCACTGTGGCGTCGAGATGCCTCACATGGCTGGTGGAGTGTTGGCGCGACCCAGATGCAGTAGCTCTGTCGGGTGGGGACTGCGGGGACCACGCCATGGGGACCGCTGAAAGGCGTGCATTGTCCAGGTGTCCTCGTTCTCTTATTGGGTAGCTGCCAGCCAGCCCTTCTCCGTCACTGCCCTGGCCCTCTGTGGGGGTGACCCTCCAGGAGTAAAGCTGACCTGGGAACCCCGAGAATAACCCCCATGTCCTCAGCACACCCCTTGGCCTCAGTTGCCACACTGGGGTTTTCCCCAGCGCTTCAGCATCCTGGAGTATTCGGGGACGCTCCCCTTTCTCCTTCCTTTTTGTCAAGCATGGGGTTTTGCTCCTATAAAATGGGGGGCCTGGCCCAGGCACTCTTCATGGGCCCCTTGACATGGCTGGGCATCAGCTCTCTCTGACAGGCTCCCGTGCTTGGGTCTGGGATGAGGGTGCAGGGTGTGAGACATCCCCCATCCCCCCTCTGTTTCTAAAGCTTTCCTGAGTCTGGGACCTCGCTGGGGGACTGGACCGGCCCTTCTGCGTCTGACAGCGAGTGCGACGGGATCCTTCCCGGACACGTTCACCCTTGCTTTGTTCTTGGTTTCTCTTTGCCTTCTCTCAGGTGGGAACCCCTAAATAGGTCCTGTGTCTGCTGGCCATGGTTCCAGGGTGCTGGCAGGTGGCTGCTCCTGCCTCCCGTGAGGCCATGAGCTGGACAGAGAGGCTGGCCAAGGCGCCGGGGTTTGAACCCAGGGTCTAGTGCACGTCAGAGCTACTGTTCAGTCCCCTCCCCCCCACAAGGTGCTGCTTTGGAGTGGGAGGGACGACCTCTGTGGGCACAGAAGGGCGGATGGCCACACGAAGCAGGTGGACCCCACAGTGGCGCTCTCTGGGGCTCGGCTTGGCGCTGAGACCGGGCTTCTTGTGTCCAAAGAATTGCGAGCAGCCCAGTCTGAGACCCAACGGGATGATGCTGGCCGGGCCGTCAGGCCGCGGAGGGTGGGAGAGAGTGGCCACCGGCTCCTCCCCGGGCTGTGCTCGTGACAGGGGAGATGGAGGCCTAGGCTGTCCACGGCGCCAAGAACACATCGGGACTCAGCATTTCTTCTGCTGCTTTGTTGTCATGGCAGGCCGGGGATCGAACCCGAGGCCTCCCGCACACGCGGCAAGTGCTCTGCCCCTGAGCTCCGGCTTCAGCCCCAGTACTGGAGCTTACGGGCCATCTCGAGGATGATGATGGTGATAGAAGAACAAACATCATTTTTTTTGTGTGCTCACGCTGTACTCCAGATACTGGACTAAGACATTCTGGCATGTGAAAAAGAGCCTCCCCCACCCCACTCCCACGCACACACGCCCCTTTGCGAAAGAGGAAACGGAGGCACAAAGCAGCGAGGTAGCTTCTAGCGTGCACGTCTGACGCTCGGCAGGCAGGGGCTCCCATGTGTTTCTGGGGCTCCAGCTTCCCACGGGGCGTCACGTACCCCAGAAGGTGTTACTCTGCGCCATGGAGACTTTGGGTGTGGGCGGCAGGGGAGGGGGGCCAACTTGCTGCCGGTTTGTCAGCGACGTTTCACGGGACCTTCTGGAGTGATTCTCCCTGTCAAATCAGATGCTGCGGCTTGGACTCGCAGCTCACCCCGTTGCTCACTAGCCAGGCCAGTCATTTCCCCCTGGCGTGGTGCCTCAGTGTCCCCGAGTGTAATCAAGTTGGGAAGATGATATCTTGGGTAATGATATCGAGCAATAATGTGTCAATATATACATATGAATCAAATTTCCACACTGCCTGGCTCGCATGAATGCAGCACTAGCTATGAATTCTTTCTTGTCAGGGCCACACCCAAGGGTGTCAGGGGGCTCCCACATGCCAAGTAGGCAGGCGGCCCCCTTCACCCGGTCGTCCCCCTGGCCCGTAGCTGCATTATCATTAGCCGGCGGCATCCTTGGCCTCCTCCTGTCTATACCCCTGGATCTGCAGTGGTGGGTACATTTCTACTTCTCACCAGGGTCCGTGTCACCTCTTGACCGTCTGTTGGGTGCCAGAAAGGGTGGCGGCAGGAGTTTGGGTGGGACAGGAAATGTGGGTGGCACAGGTCTTGCGGGGCAGGACTCGGAGGGCATGCAGTGGCCAGGAGTCGGGTCAGACGGGGGAGCAGGGAGGCTGATGGGGTCCAGGCCCACGGGGGCGGGGGGTGGGCGGGCAGCGCCCTCCCCTGCGCGGCCCTGCGCTCGGCGCTGCAGGGCTGTCTTTGATGTAGACTGGGCAGGGGCCCACCGGGCATAATTACCAGGAAGGGGCTTGGTGCTAATCCGCTGGGCTCTGTCGAGCCGGCTTCGCGGGATCCCCTTGCTTTCTTCTCGCCTTGGAGATTTTTCCCTCCCCAATCAGCCCTCCAGCCCCATCCGTAATCATTCTAGATCCTTCGATGCTACAGAGAAACAAACTCCAGAGAGGGGGCCGGGGCTCCTGCTGGCTTCTGTCAATGAGAACCCAGGATTTGGGCCCACAGGCCATATGCTTTGGGTTTTGGAAGATGCAAATTGATTGCTTTCAGAAAAATAGGATCCTTGGCCTCTGTATGCTCTACCCACGTGTGTGTGTGCATGTGGGTGTGTGTCTCCACGTCTGTGCCAGTGTGTGTATGTCAGTGCTGGCGTGTGTATGATGCATCTCTGTGGCTGTATGAGTGTGTGTATGTGTGTGTGTGTGTGTATAGTTGTCTGTGTGTGACGGTAGGAGTCAGTATAATGGTATGAATGTGTGTGAGTGTGTTTTCTGTGACTCTCTGAGTGTTTGTATGTGTGTGTGAATGTGTGTCTCTGTGACTATGTGAGTGTGTGTGTAGTTGTCTGTGTGTGACTGTATGAGTCGGTATGATGGTATGAATGTGTGTGAGTATGAATGTGTGTGTTCCTGTGTCTATATGAGTGTGTGGCTGTGTGAGTGTGTGAATGCGTGTGTCTCTGTGACTATGAGTGTGTGTGTCTCTGTGATTATATGACTGTGTGAGTGTGAGTGATTGCAGGTGTGTGTGACTATATGAGTGTGTGTGAGTGTTTGAGTGTGTGTGAGATTGTAGGAGTGTTTGTGTGTGCGTGCTGGGAGGTGAGGTGCAGCTCACTGGTACAGGTGGGAGAGAGTGATGGAGGTTGCAGGGCCCATGGGACTGGCGTCACTCCCCCGACATGAGGCAGGCCCTGGCACACGGGGGGCTGCCAACATCCCAGGCAGCTCCTCCGTGAGAGCAGGGGCTGGATGGAGGGGCATGTAGGGGGCACAGCCCCTGGGAATGTGGTGCCTGCCTTTCTATGCCCCTCTCTGGGGAGGCCAGGGCTGGGACTTGTCCAGCTGTCCCAGTGAGCCGCAGTCGCTGTGCTGGGGCCCAGGGCCACTCCCTGGCAGAGCTGGGGTGGGGTCATGTGGTTCTGGGGATCCAACCCGGGGCCTCACGCCTGCTAGGCATGTGCTCCACCACCAGAGCCAACCCCAGCCCTTGTGTGGGGTAGTTAGAGGCTGGAGGGTCGTCCGAGCGCCTGCTCTTTCCAGAGCTGCCCCCGCCCCATCTGCCTTCCCCAGAGGGTCCTCTTCTTCCGGGGACCTCATTCGGGGGCCGGAGCACAGCCCTCTCACCTGTCCTCTGCCCGGCCTTGGCCTGCTCCCCAAGCCAGGCGGGTGGGGCTGGGAGGGCAAAGGGCTTCGCACGAGCATAAATTAGAATTAAGGCCTCCAGTGAAGCCGAGATGGGTTTAATTTCCCATCCCCGCTATCCCCATTACAGAGCATGTTACTGGATATAAAGATAAATCCAGCCCTGCTCCTAATGGCTTTTCATCTCGGCAGCCCTGGTTCGATTGAGGCAGGCTCTGGGGGCGTGTTACCCCCTGCCCCCCCCACTCGGCCCCAGCTCCTCAGTGGCCCCAGCGAGGACTTGGGGTCAGAGGCTTCTGCGGGCCTGAATGGGCCAGGACGGGTGCCCCAATCCATGCAGAGGGCTTGGGGTGGTGGGGGATGGGCGGGTGGGTGCTGTCAGCCTGCCCTGGCCCAACCGGGAGTGGGCAGGGACCTCTGTGTTGGGGCAGGGGTGACACTGGCCTGAGGTGTCCTTCCTGGAAAGGCCCCCACGGAAAGAATTCCCACCCGGCAGCCTCCACCCCTGTCCACACTGGCCTTGCGTCCCAGCCTGACTAAGCCCAGGTTGTCAGGGTCTGGCATCTCTGCTGCTGGCCCATTTCCTCCTCCACCAGACTGAGGCCTGTGGGCAGAGCACCCCTCCCCTCTCTGCCTCTGCTCCTGAGAACCTTCCCTGGAGGTTGCCTGTGGCAGGTGGGGATCCAGAGAGGCTGTGTGTGTGTGTGACTGTGTGTGTGTATAAGAGTGTGGACTGTGTGTGTGTGACTGTGTGTGAGTGTGACTGTGTGTGAGTGTGTGAGTGTATAAGAGGGCATAAGTGTGTGTATTAAAGTGTGTATGTGTGTGTGACTATGTGTGAGTGTGTGACTGTGTGTAGTATGTGTGTATAAGAGTGTGTGACCGTGTGAGTGTGTATGTGACTGTGTATGAGTGTGAGTATGTGTGAGTGTGTATAAGAGGGCATAATAAGTGTGTG